TCTGAGAATCTCTGGCTTTTGCCAAAATCTTTTTCATGCCACTTTAAATGTGCCATGATTTATGCATGTAGCACCAGGCATAATGAACCAGTAGCTAAAATTACCACAACCGTTAAAGTAACTGATCACAGTAACTTATGCTTGAGAGAGAAAGAAAAAAACATTGTTTGTGTTCTTTGCTGCTCGTTTGTGATTCACAAAGACAGCCCCCTTCTTTTAACATGCTTTCTCCATCTGTCCCTGAGTATCTTCTCTTCACTGGAAGACCTTGACAGCATTTTTGAAGGACCTGAGAATTAGGTCTTCTCCCACAAAATATGATAGCCCACCATGTTATGTGAAAAGAGGAGTCTTTGATATATCATGACACAAGGTTCAGCTCAGAATTAAATCTCTCCCAGCTCCAGAAGCATTGGAGGAATTAGTTACAGAGTTAGGGCCTATATAGTCTAATATTATAAAAGCCTATGTCTGTCTGTCTGTCTGTCCATAACACTTTATTTGTGCTCTGATTGGCTGACAAACAGCCAATCAGAGTGCGAACAAGTGTTTGAGCAGGAGCTGGTGGCGGTGGAGTGCCACCATGCTGGTGGGGACACAGGGGATGGAGGGGGGCTGGCCTCGCCCCCCCGCGCACCTGTTCCTTGGAGGTGGAGAGAGCAGAGTGGATGGAACAGGGGGGCAAGGCCAGCAGTGCCCCTGCCCTGCTCCCTGCAGGTGGCAACAATGGAGCACAGGGGGACAAGGCCTCTGGAGCTGGCCTCCTCCCCGCCTTACTCCTTGCAGGTGACAGCAGCAGCGGTGCCAGGGGGAGCGGGGTCGAGATGCTGTGGTGGGGGTGAGGCCACCAGCTCTGGCCTCAGCCCGCCCCCTCCCCTTTCCATTGTCGCCACCTGCAGGGCCAAGGCGGCGGCGGTGGGGGGAGGAACAGGGCCGACGTGGGTTGGGGGAATAGCGGGAGCACTGAAGCAGCGGTGGGGGGAGGGGCAGAGTGAGCCCGTGCCCAACACAGGTTGGGAGGAGGACTGAGCTGGAGCCAGGGGAAAAGCGGGCCTGGCCCGATGCAGCCCAATGTGGCAGCAGCGGGGGAGGGAGGAG